GGCCCGGGGCTCTGCGGGCCCGGGGCTCTGCGGGCCGGGGCTCTGCCGAGGGGCTCTGCGGGCCCGAGGGGCTGCCCGCGGGCGGGCGCCGAGCCCAGGCAGCCGCTGACGCTCTGTGTTTTGCTGCCTTGCAGAGAAACGTGAAGCGCAACGGGAGCAGGAGCTGCTTGAACAGGAGTCGGTTTGGTTCCCGTGAGCGGGACTGGCTGAAGGAGGGCGTCGGGCGAGGCTGCGTGTATGTTCATGGGAGAGACTCTTCAGCTCCAGGGGCTTCAGACCTGCGCCTGGTGCTCTGCACGGTGGACACACCCGCGTCCGAGATCTGTGATGGAGAAGGGAGGAAGAACCTCTATGTGCAACTTCACGGAGACCTGGTCAGGTGATTGCTGAGAAAGACCAAATAGGAGAAACGTTTGCTGTGGTCTTGCAGGGCTGTGTCCCCTGTGTGCCCAGGCATGTCAGCAGGGCGGGGAGCAGTGCTTTGTAGCAGTTAGATACAGCCTTGAGTGATGCATTTCATAGCCACGAGTTAGTGGTGCACATCCTAGTTATGCCGTAGGTGTTTCAGCTCAGGGCGGGGGGGATTGGCTGGTGCTCCAGCCAGAAATGTGTTCTCGTTTTGTAGGTAGAGGCTGTGGTTTATATGCTCCTCTAATGTGTTCTGCACTGTGAATATTTTACTGTCTGGAAAGCTTAAGCTGTTTAAGAGATTGCAAACAATTTTTCTGGGGTGTTGAAACATCTCGGGTACTTTCCCAGTTAAGTCATTAATATTTATGTGTTAGTAATTATTTTTCTTAGAAGAACTGCTAGGTAAGTAATTAAAGGTAGACAGAAAGATAGTGTAGTGAGGGTTATAGGAAGAAGGCATTATATGTTTTATACTTGCAGTTGATTTAGGCTGAAAATAAACAGCTTACCAAGAAACTGAGTTTTGTTGCAGAAAATAACAATTCAGTGTCTCTAGAAGAAGTAAGATGAGAGGATTCGAAAATGTTTTTTCTGTTCTGAATATACTAACCCTGAAATTTCAGAAGAACTTTCTCTTACTGCTATTTATTCAAGTTAGCCACTGAATCCTTCTTGTGATTTTTGCAGTTCTAAAAACATGTCTTATTTAAATGTACTGTTGGGGTGTATTTGCCAGAGCATGAGAATCTTGCACTGATGAGAGCTAAAGAGAATGAGAAACTTATTTTTTCTTTTTTTAGAAGTCATTCTTCAGGAGGATTCTCATATGCTTTTCTTCCAGCTGCATTTGGAAGAGAAATTTAAGTAGAGTTCTTTGTATCTTTCAGTCATTATACATGGATTTTAAAAATTATTTGGTGTCTTTGTTTTTTGCAGTATTTCTGGGTTTGTTTCTTTCCATTGTTTCCTCCTGATGTTTCATAACTCATGGAATGAGAATCATCACCATGGGTTGTATGGCTTGTGCCTATTGCTTTTCCTCTCCATTTCCCCTCTGCAACATAATCCTTCCAGGGCTACAGTCCATAAATGCTCCTTGTCAAGCAGGAAGCACAGACCTCAAGGATGCTCCTTTTCAGAGGAGCAGAACAAGCAGTAGGTCAGGGTTGCACTTAGCACTTCAGCTGCAATGAGACTTGTTTCATCTTTTTTTGTGTTCTCAAACTACTTTCTTGTATGTTTTGACAGGAGGCTGGAGCCCACGGAGAAACCCCTTCAGATTGTGTATGACTACTTGGCTGGGTTGGGTTTTGATGATCCTGCCAGGATGCAGGAGGAGGCAGCCAACTCTGACCTCAGCTGCATGATTCGCTTTTTCAGTGGTAAGAAACAGGGTGTGCGCTGTTGGGTTCACAGATGGTTACATCAAACACCCAAGGTACCAGGAAGCATTTCTTAAAATAACGAGTTTTCAAGATTAATAGAAAAACCCCACAATTCATAGAATCATAGAATCTTAGGGGCTGGAAGGGACCTCGAGAGATCATCTAGTCCAACCCCCCTGCCAGAGCAGGGTCACCTAGAGTACATCACACAGGAACTCATCCAGGTGGGTTTTGAATGTCTCCAGTGAGGGAGACTCCACAACCTCTCTGGGCAGCCTGTTCCAGTGCTCTGTCACTCTCACAGTAAAAAAATTTTTTCGGATATTCACCTTGAATCTCCTATGCTCCAATTTACACCCATTACCCCTTGTCCTATCACTGGTCATCACCGAGAAAAGCCTAACTCCGTCCCCCTGACACTCACCCCTTACATATTTGTAAACAATCAGAAGTCAAAGTAGAAAACTAGTATGACTTATAACTTTTAAGTTTATACTGCTGGGCTCATCTACAGCCTCTTGAACATTAGATACAGATAAATCACCCATAAAGCAAAAAAGTAGATACTAAGTCACTCTCCTGAACAGAAGTCAGTTAATGGTGACAGATAAATGTTGCCATCTACAAAAAGTTTTCACCTCCAGTGTTCCCCCAGATTACCTTCTCTGTTTCTCTTCCAAATCTATCAGTCCACTGATAGCAACATGCCTTGGTCTTTGTTTCCAACATTAGACCAAATGTATAACTTATAGAATCATAGAATCATAGAATCATAGAATCTTAGGGGCTGGAAGGGACCTCGAGAGATCATCTGGTCCAACCCCCCTGCCAGAGCAGGGTCACCTAGAGTACATCACACAGGAACTCATCCAGGTGGGTTTTGAATGTCTCCAGTGAGGGAGACTCCACAACCTCCCTGGGCAGTCTGTTCCAGTGCTCTGTCACTCTTACAGTAAAAAAATTTTTTCGGATATTCACCTTGAACTTCCTATGCTCCAATTTACACCCATTACCCCTTGTCCTATCACTGGTCATCACTGAGAAAAGCCTAACTCCGTCCCCCTGACACTCACCCCTTACATATTTGTAAACATTGATGAGGTCACCCCTCAGTCTCCTTTTCTCCAAGCTAAAGAGACCCAGCTCCCTCAGCCTTTCCTCATAAGGGAGATGTTCCACTCCCTTAATCATCTTCGTAGCTCTGCGCTGGACTCTTTCAAGCAGTTCCCTGTCCTTCTTGAACTGAGGGGCCCAGAACTGGACACAATACTCCAGATGTGGCCTCACCAATGCAGAATAGAGGGGGAGGAGAACCTCTCTTGACCTACTAACCACACCCTTTCTAATGCACCCCAGGATGCCATTGGCCTTCTTGGCCACAAGGGCACATTGCTGGCTCATGGTCATCCTCCTGTCTACCAGGACCCCCAGGTCTCTTTCACCTACACTACTCTCCAGCAGTTCAGCCCCCAACCTGTACTGGGACATGGTGTTGTTCTTCCCCAAATGTAAAACTCTGCACTTCCCCTTGTTGAATTTCATCATGTTTCTCCCCGCCCAATTCTCCAACCTGTCTAAGTCTCTCTGAATGGCAGCACAGCCTTCTGGTGTGTCAGCCACTCCTCCCAGCTTAGTGTCATCAGCAAACTTGCTGAGGGTACATTCTATACCTTCATCCAGGTCGTTGATGAAGATGTTGAACAACACCGGTCCCAGTACCGACCCCTGTGGGACTCCACTAGTCACACACCTCCAACCAGATTCTGCCCCATTGACTACAACTCTCTGGCTCCTTCCTTTCAACCAGTTCCTAATCCACCTCACTTCCTGATCACCAAACCCATACCTGATCAACTTATCTACAAGGATGCTGTGGGAGACGGTGTCAAATGCTTTACTGAAATCAAGATAAACCACATCTACCGCTCTACCATCATCTATCCACCTAGTAATTTCCTCATAGAAGGCTATGAGGTTAGTCAAACATTCTGTTGCGCTCTGGAGACAATTCTGTCTGTGACTTGAGAAACAACAGCTGCACAGGAAAGCATGGGACTGCTCTGCTGTCTTCTGTTTCCCGCATAGTGACAAGTGCCTTAGAGCTCCTCTTGGTATCAGAAACATACTGCAGTTCAGTCTAGATATGCCTGAGGACTATTCCCAATGGGGGGAGGCTTTTGCTCAGTGGAAGCCTCTTGGAGGGCAGTGACCAGGCTGGATAGGGCAAGCTCAGAGACCAAATATTATGGGGTCTATGTGCTTCAACAGCAGATCCCATGCAAGAAGCTCTCCAAGGCCATCAAACTGTGCTTGCCTGTCCCTAGAGGTTAAGACCATTCTTGCACATAGCTTGAGGAGTTGTGGAACAGATGGGATTCTGAGTAGAAGTCCTTGAACATGGCCCTTGGCTTTTCCTTGTGCTAGGACGCAGCTGTCGTGCATGTTCAGAGAGGATGGGGAAGCTGGGGGACTGGTGTTGCTTCCTAGTAATACCTGATGATTGGAGCAATGCTGCTATGGCAAGTAGTGAAATACCCCTTCTGGTCCTGTAACACTGTTTTTTTACAAGTCTGGGACTGGTCTCTCAGCTTGGTGAAAGCCAAGCAGTTTTTTCTGTGGATGATGAGTTTCTCACTGTTGAAGGACATCTTATGGCAAACTTCATGTTCCTGAAACAAAGAAACTTTTGTAAGTAAACAAACAGCTAAGGATTTCAGCTCAATTCAGCCTGGTATAGACATCAAGACAATGCTTTAAATCTGGCTGAAGACCCTGATTCTAACTGAAACAGCGTAACAGCTTCAGTCCTCAGTCACTTTTTGCTCCTAATGAAATTTGGAGTATGGTTTGTGTCTGGAAGTGGGACACATGTTCCAGTAGCAACTTAAAAAAATATAAATTGATCCTTTCCTGAGTAAAACAAAGGACTCATTGCCAGGATCTGTCTTCGGGGTTATTTAGAATAAAATAAAATGCAAATTTAATAGGAGATTTTTAATGCTGGAAGCTCAAAAATCCATCAGGTCAGGCTTATTCCTGTTCTGTAAAGTATTCAATTAAGTGGCTATCTGGGAAATTTTCCTTACCAGTAAGATCATATAAACAGTGGACAGAATCTTGAAAAGCATCTGGGAAATCTCTCATTATCTTGGAACTAAAAAGGTGGGGGATGACCTAAAAGTAAATGTATATGCATTAGATGGCTGAGGTAGGATTCTACTTTCCTGGTTAGAGTAATAGCTGGCAGTGCACACAGCCCAGCTCTAACAGTCAGTGCTTGAGTCCTTTCACTATCTTGAGGGAAATAACTTTATTCTGTAGCTGATTTTCCAGGCCTCCCTTTAAAGCCCAGTAGAAGCCACTTATTTGATGGTTTTTGTGACTTTAGCTCAACAAGAGTTTGAAATTGCTTTTCTATTGCATGTGAACGAAGGGTGTTGAGCAAGTTTATGTTGCTGTTTGTACTTGGAGCTGAGAATGAAGCACAAATGGAAAGCAAGTGCTGCTGTCCCTTTTTTCTTCAGAAAAGCCAAGCCAGGTGGAGCAGCTGGATCGCATCCTGCTCTCTGGAGTCTACAGCGTCCGCAAAGGGAAGACCCAGTTGCACAAGTGGGCAGAGCGGCTGGTCGTGCTCTGTGGCACCTGCCTGGTGGTCTCCTCGGTGAAGGACAGCCAGGTGGGCAAGGTGCACATCTTGCCCCTCGTTGGAGGGAAGGTAAGACTGTTTTGTTAGCTTCCTGTGGATTAGGAAGGCAGCAGGGATTATAATGATGAGAATTATCCACAAGAGGTCAGTTGAGGCTTTTGTAACAAATTACTGCATTCATATGTGCAGAGAGTTGTACAACCCTTTTCTGCTTGTTTTGCTTAGTTTCTAGTCTTAAGGCTAATAAAATAAAGAGAGACAAGTTCTCCTTCCACATTAGTAGCCAGTGTTGTGAACAGGCATTCTGGAAATTATTGATATTGGGATCTACTTCAGCAGAAAGATATTAAGAAGGATTTGGCCTTTCAATACTTAAAGGAGGCTTCTAAGAAAGATAAGAAAGACTTCAGTAGGGCCTGTTGCAAGAGGACAAGGGGTATAAAAGAGGGTGGATTTAAACTAGATAAAAGGAAGAATTTTGTTACAATGAGAGTGGTGAAGCACTGGCACAGGTTTCCCAGAGAGGTGGGAGATACCACATCCCAGAAAACTTCCTGGGCCATCTTGGATGAGGCTCTGACTGACCCGATTGATTGAGGATGTCCCTGCTCACTGCAGGGAGAGTAGACTAGGTGACTTTTAAAGGTCCTTTCCTACCCACCTTATTCTGTAATTCCATGATTCACATCTGTGTTTCTCTCAATAATTTTACAACTTTGTGTTTTCAGCAAAATGTAATATTACTGGTAGTCGGTAACACTTCACTCTAGATGCACTGTGATGGCAGGAGTTGAGGCAGCCAGTTTGATTCAGCTCTCCCCTTGCAGGTGGAGGAGATGAGACGCCGGCAGCACACACTGGCTTTCACATCTGCTGGAGCACAAGCTCAGACCTACCATGTGTCCTTTGGAACACTGGCCGAGTGTCAGCGGTGGCACCGTCAGGCCTCCACGGTGAGGCCCTGGGGCTCCAGGGAGTTGGGTGGTTTGTACAGGGGCAGGGGGGTTCTGATGCAGGCAGAGATAATGCTAGGATGCCAGAGAAAGCACCCAGGACACTTTCCAGCTTTTGTAATTTCTTACGTGCTCAGGACTAGAGATTTTCTTTCAGCTGTCTCTGCCTGTGAGTGTTGAGCACTAGATCTGCATTTTTTCACCCCCGCTGCACCTGTTGTGAGTAACTAATCACAGGTCACTAGAACAGAGCCAAGGGACTGGTGACTTTACAGCCGTAGGGACAAATAAACTGCACCTGTTGCCATATTAAATCTACCTGGACTGTGGCCTGGGCTGGCTTGAGGCTACACTGGTAGGTTTGAGTTGACACAGGTGATCGGTCAGCAAGGGAAGTGCAGTTTGTTCAGAACTGTGTTCTTACTCCACTTTGAAGTACAAATAGATGGCTGTAGTTTAGTGCTGAACCACACTTAGATCTTGCATGAAATATGAAATGAGTTCAGGATAAAGCAGGTCTTAAAATCTGGAATGAAACACTGAAGACCTTGAAGCAAAGCATACTTAATGAAAGGAGATCTGATATTTGTCAAGAGCTCATGAAATGTTGCAAAACCATCATTTATGAGGCCTTTTCAGCGTAACAGGTTATGTTTCTAATATCAGATGGTGCATAAGCTAACAAAGGAAAATCAGAAGAAGTAACTAGGCCAAGCAGAGGGTCTATAAACCTTAAGTTCTGAACTGGAAAGTCAACTGCTTCCTGTGCTGCTTGCATCTTTGGGAAGCACTCAGAGGTCATGCATTCTCAGTTTCCTCAGCCAAGGATCACGTTTTCTCCATTGATTGGCTCCTTTATGGGCTAACTTTTGGGCAGCACTTGTTGCACGTTCAGAGAAGGGCTCTCCATGTGTCCTAGTTAGAATCCAGATACACCTCCTTGTTGGGGGCTTGCAGAAACAGTAGCCAATCCTGCATGGACTCTACCTGGTGGGTGCAATGGGGTTTTCTTGCAGATTGTTTACTGCTTGCATTTTCCGTTAGACTTCCAGAGAAACATTGTCGCAAAGCTGCAGCTCTTCCTCCTTTTCAGGTGGTGTCAATGAGACTTAGCATGGTTGATCTTTCATGCTACAGCCTTGAGGAAGTACCAGAGCACCTTTTCTACAGTCAAGACATCATCTACCTCAACCTGCGACACAATTTCATGAGATCAAGTGGAGCAGGGAGTCTTGACTCTCTTTGCAGGTCTGCAAATAATTGTTTTTCTTCTACATTTGGAGTTCTTGACATGTGCATCCAGGGGTGAAGAGGAGGGAGTATATTCCCCATTCTCATGGGATGGTATAAGATTGATCTTCAGGAAGCTCTGACAGATGAAGGGGCTATGAGGCAAAGCTGAACAGCACAGGCAGGCATAACCTTCCAACAATTTACAGTATTCATTAACTCCCTCCCTGAGATTCTTTGTGCTAAGTTTGCCCTGAGATGACGCTTGTGAAGCTTGTGGAGCAATATGCCATTTGTATGGATAAGATCCAATAGTAATATAAGGCTGCTCACTAAACAGATGACATTTTGGGGTATAAAATAAAAGATGAGGGAAAGCATATGTTGTGGGTAAATGTTTGTAGGAAGAAGTGCTGAAAAAGCCTGTTTTGGTAAGGTCTTAATGTTCATGTGCACTTGGACTTGGCAGAGGGCCTGTGAGACTCCAGCTTTGCTTTGGGAACTTGTAATGGTCTGCTTTTAAGAGAGTAGCAGTTGTGTGATGGCATGGAAACATGATGTAGTCATCTTAGGTAAGTGAAGGAGTCTTACAAAAATATTTTATCATTAATTGCTGAAAACTGTAAAAATCTAGAGGAACATCAGTCTGTTGACACATACTTTAGCCATGCTAAAAAAACATTCAAGAAGTTGCTCTATGAATTTCAGAAGCTGTTAGGAAGCCTGTAGCAACATTGTCAAGTGTCTCTGTGTTCAGAATACACTGTACCTTAAGAAAAGTGTCTTTGGGAAAACTTTGCAAAACTGCAGGATTTTGTTTTGGTTTGGGGTTTTTTGTTGTGTTTTGTTTATCTCCAGGGGCCAATCACCAGGTTATTTCATTCTTCCTACAGAGTAATGAGATGCCAAGTATCCATGAGGGTGTGCAGGGAAAAAAAAATTGCTCACCTATGGGAATTCTTTGTGGTGTCACTGAGAGGCAGTCTAATCTGGTTTTGTTTTAATTCCAAACTTGCTTAAATGTTTTCTAACTGCTGAATTGTAATAGATTTTGTTATTGGAAAAGCTGCTTAAAATAATTCAAGATTTTGCGTTCTACTTCTCTCTTCAAATACATTGTATGATGTTTAAAACCATATCAGAACTTAATTTTCTAAAATGCGGTATCCTTGGTCCACAGGGTCAGCAAAGGGGCTTGACATTTCTTTTGACCTTGCATGTAGTCAACAAGAGATCTGACATGTCAGAAACTCGACTCTTTTCCTGGCAGTGACTATGTCCGATGAAGCTGAAATCCTCAAACAAACAAAAGCCATAAAAGAAGCCCTCACTTCACACAGTCTTGAATAAACAGGTAGCAGTAGGTAGCCCACGTAAGGCTGCTTGTTGCCTTTTGAAAAGATTTTCTTTCTGAGGTTTTCAGGATGTTTATCAGGTCACAGCCCCAAATGAAGAAACTTGCTCACTTGCAGTAGCTGTTACCAGTGCCTAGAGATTGACAGTTCCCAACAGCAGAATTTTTGGCAATAATAAGGGCTCTTCCTCTGAGGAAATCTTTGAAGCTGTAGGAGTTTAATTAGCTATAACTATAATAATGGAACAAAAATAATTAAAATGAAGAAGTTAAGCAAAGGAAATTAAATAACCCCACCTGTTTCCTTACATCTCCTAGCGTGTTTTTTATGTAGCATACTGTCTTTAAGTATCTCCCTTTCCTGGAAAACATTGTCAAGTCTGATGTTCATTGATAAGTGTGCGTGTGCACATGCGTGTGTACACATCTGCATGGTTGTAATCACCATTCTAGCTGGCTGATAACACAGTTGCACTAGGATGCTTTGGCAGCAGAGCAGGGTTTTGTGTTGAACTGGAAATGTTTCAGGCCAGCAGCAGCTTGGGCTGCTGAACAGAGGCTGCTCATCCCTTTCAGAATTCGTCACCGTGTTTCCATAGCTCCTTGCTGTGATCTCAGGGTGCCCTGTGGGAGCACAGACAACGCTTGATAAGCCATAATGATTTTGAAATCCTGATTCTGTATAATCCATGGATCATGCCAACAACTTGCATATTCCAGAGCTGGGTTTGCATTCCATTCCATTTATGATTCCAAAACCTGAGAACTCTGGTGCATCCTAAATCTCTTGAAGTTGAACCAGTTCATGAGAAAGTTCAAATCTGTAGGTTTATCCTCATTGTTTCTATCTTTCCATTATTGTTATGAAGTTCTGTGTGCAAGTTTCTGATTTTTGGATTGTTATTAGTTCTTTGCAACATACAGTATGTTCCCTTTAGGAAGACTCTTACAATACAGCATTTTTTTCTTTGGCTTCCAATTGTGTCAAGAGAGTCTGTGACTGCAGCAAACAGAAAATGGCTGTGCCCCTATTTATATGACAAGGCGCTTTCTCAAAGCAAACAACCCATGTCCAGGTTTCAGATATGGTCCCTCTTTAAAAAAACAACAAAGAAACAAACAGAACAGCCCCCCAAAGATTGTAAAGCAAAATGAAGAATTATTATGCATTGATGCATTGTTGCTACACAGAGAATTCCAAGTATTCTGAATCTGAAGCAGGAATTGCTATAAAGAAGAAAACATTTCAAAGCCTTTCAGTTTTCTACTTTAAGACATCTCACGCTAGTAGTGATGTTCTCCCTCAAGCTAATTAACATTGCTTTTGTTACCTGTATTAAAACACTTGCTTCAATTTAAGAGGTACTCACCATAGTAAAAAGTGCAGTAGATGGGACAGAGGAAGGAACTATGTGTCCAAGAAACACTTCTCCCATACAGTACATTAGATTCACAGTTTCCTCATCAAAATATTATACTAATTTCCCCACTGAATTAATTTCTGATGGTTCCATTTTGGGATGGGGAAGTGATTAATTGGAGAAAAATACTTTTGTTTCTTGTGGAGAGAGGTAGGAACTCTTTGAGAAGAACCTCTTGCCTATTGCCCCAGCCCTTTCTCAGTTTCTTTTCTGTGGACCTAGCACAGTGACAAGAGCTGGAACAGGCACCCGTCTGCTGGAACAGCTGGGGCTGTAGGGACTGTGCAGGCTATGTCAGAACTTTATGACTGTACCTGAGGTACAGTCTGCCAAGCAAGTGGCACTTTAGACATGGGATCTCTTCCAGGGACCCCTGGGTGCAGGTCTTCCTGGTGTGAAGGCAGCATTTCCCTGGATTTCCCTTTTGCAGCTCTGCTGGGCCTTCTGTTGTGCCCAGCTAGAAAAGGGCTTTTCCCTCTTCTGTTTTATCCTCAGAATAGTTAAATTTAATGTTTTTACCTCCTGTTTTCCCAAGCTGCATAACTGTAGACTGTTACTCTAAATAATTCTTGGAAGGTAATTTTTTTTTAACTGGGTATTCTTAATCTCCTTGATCTTTGTAACAGCCACTAGTATGAAGCCTGTCAGGAATCGGGCTAGAAGGTTGTTACCAGTGTCTACAGCAAAACCCCTGTATTTGATCACTTTCAGCATTACCACTGAGATGCAAAGTATCAGTGACTTAAAACCAAATTTGTGCAGAAGCTGCCATAATGAGTTAGCTGACTGTATCACCAGTGTACAAAGACTTAAACATTCTTTATGACTGTTTTGTATTTTTTTGCTTTGAGACCACGGAGGTTTGTGAATTAACTATGGTGTTCCTGCCAATAGGTTTTCTCAGTTGAAGAGCCTGAACCTGTCTCATAACAGACTGGGAGAGTTTCCTGTGTCACTGTGTGAGATCTCGACTCTGACAGAGCTCAATGTTTCCTGTAATGGCCTTCACGACTTGCCAAGCCAGATTGACAAACTGCTGAAGTGAGTATGTTGTTTTCATCCGTGGTCATGGGGCTTTGATTTAGCACAGCTGAGATGAACGTGCTGCTAATGAGAGTAGGAGTGCAGGGACAGCCTTTTCCACCAGTGAAGACTGACTAAGGGATTTGATGCAGTTCCCTAGGCACTGCTAGTAAAACATTGCAGCTGCTGATGTAGAAAAGATGAGGAAACATGATGCAAAATCACAGAATCATTCTGATTGGAAAAGACCTTTAAGATCATTGAGTCCAACTATAACCCAGCTCTACCAAGTCAAATGCTTAAACCATGTTCCTAAGCAGCATATCTATACACCTCTTAAACACTTCCAGGGATGGTGATTGAACTACCTCCTTGGGCAGCCTGTTGCAGTGTTTAATTACTCTTTCAGTGAAGAAATTCCTTCTAATATCTAATCTAAACTTCCCCTGGTGCAGCTTGAGTCCATTTCCTCTTGTCTTGTTGTTGTCCTTGTTACCTGGGAGAAGAGACCAATCCCCACCTCTCTCCAGCCTCCTGTCAGGGAGTTGTAGGGAGCAAGAAGGTCTCTCCTCAGCCTCCCTTTTTCCAGGCTAAACACCCCCAGGTCCTTCAGGTGCTTCTCACAGGGCTTGTGCTCCAGACCCTTCCCCAGCTTTGTTGCCCTTCTCTGTTAGTGCTCCAGCACCTCAATGTCTTTCTCGTTGTGAGGGGCCCAAAACTTGAGCCCAGGACTCAAGGTGTGGCCTCACCAGGGCAGACAACTACCTCCCCAGTCCTGCTGGCCACACTATTTCTGATACAAGCCAGGATGCTGCTGGCCTTCTTGGCCACCCTGTCACACTGCTGGCTCATGTTCAGCCAGCTGTCAGTCAACACCCCCAAGTGCTTTTCCTCTGGGCAGCTTTCCCCCCATTTTTTCCCAAGCCTGTGTGGTGGTGTTGTGGCTGAAGTACAGGACCTGACACTTGTCCTTGTTGAAGCTCATACAGTTGACCTCAGCCCATCAATCCAGCCTGTCCAGGTCCCCTGTAGAGCCTTTCTACCCTCAAGCAGATCAGCGTTCCATCCCAGTTTAGTATCTTCTGCAGATTTACTGAGGGTGCATTCAACCTCCTCATCCAGAGCACTGATGTTAAAGAGAACTGGCCCAAATGCTGAGTTCCTAGCTGGGTGTTCTCAGGCACTTCCTTGATAACTAACCAACCAGTGACCCATGCATCTTTTGCTGCATGAATCTCCATCCCCCTCCCCCTTCAGGTCTAGTTTAAAACCCTCTCAACAAACCCTGCTAGCTCTTGTGCCAGGATCCTCTTCCCCCTTTCAGACAAATGTTCCCCATCTGCAGCCAGTAGCCTGGTGTCATGTAAATCAACCTACTGTCAACTTTCCCTCCCTGCAACTGTTAAGGACAGAGGAGAACACCACCTGTGCTCCTGATTCCTTAACCAGTTGTTCTAAGGCCTTGCAGCCTCTCTTGTTTGCCTTTGGACTTCTCATTACTACTTCATCACTACCTACCTGAAAGGTTAACAGTGGGTAATAATCTGAGGAGTCCAATATGTTGGTATTGAGGTGTTGGTTCATTGGCACTTTCTGTTCCTCCAGCTTGTATTTTTTAAAAAGGAGTATCTGCAGTGTCAAACCAGCTCAGACCAGGACTTGCAGCTGCACTGGATGCCAGCAGGTCATTGTCAGAGTGATCTTTTGCTCACATGGAAACTGTGAGGAAAAGACTGGATGCAGGCTCACAGTTTTCAGAGGTTTATAGCTTAGTCAGAGGTCCAGTCATCTTCATGACCCCTCAAGTCCTTATTCCTAAGAACTTTTTGGGCTCCCAGATTGCATTTCGGCCATCACTAAACACTGTTCAGAAGGTTCTTTGTTGGAACATAATCATGATGAGGGAATGGTATTTGGGGAGTTTGAATCCCAAAAACCATGCAAATTTAAAAAAACCCTTGCAACAGGAAGCTCCCCTGTTTCTTTTCTGAGTTTCTGAAAAGACAACTAGAATGTAAAAATCTGTTACAGGGCATTACTGTGGTGGCAATTGTGATTACACTGTGCCGTAAGTGCCATAAGTGGGAAAAAGTGCCACAATAGTGGTATGAGATTCCAGCGATTAGATTATGAAGGTGCAGTTGAGTTTTATTGCTTCTTAGAAACAGTTCTGTACTGTTCCTGCCATCAGTTTGGGTTTCAGTTTGTCATAGGTGTTTTAAAGACAGTCCAGCATGCTAAGTGAGAAGTTCTTAATTTGTAAAAAAACCAAGTGATCAAGTAAATACCATTTACAACCTAAGTCCTGATTTATGTTTTGCTTATGTTAACTTGCAATCTTTGGCATAACTGGAAGTTTACCTCCAAAATAAGTTGAGAACTGTTTGGCATTGCATACAGAGAGTTCCAAGTCTATTATATGCAGTAATTTTATGTGTATAAGAATAAAATAAGATGTTAGATACCTTTAAAAAATGACCACAGTGAGGCCAGCTAGCTATAGGAGGAAATTCACTGAAAATGTTAAATGTGACATCCACTTGGCTCTTTGCTGAGTTATCCACTTTCTCTGTTTCATTGCTGCAGTCTCCAGACCTTCTGGCTCGATGGGAATTTCCTCACTTCCCTACCAGAAGAACTGGGAAGCCTGCAACAGCTCAGCTGCCTTGGGCTTTCCTTCAATAACTTCTGTGAACTGCCAGCAATTTGTGAGAAACTCGTCCTCTTGGACAAATTATCCCTGGCAGGGAACTTGCTGGAGACCTTGGACCTTGCAGCGCTGACCCGCATGAGTCACATCAAGAGTGTGGACCTGAGGTGAGGGGGAGCTTGCACACGGGTGGGAAGCAGATGCCTGCTTTCCTTTCACACCAGAGGAGCTGTCTAAATTAAATAGTACGTGGTGCAGTAAACTGGGTGGAATTTATTTTCCCTCACCGATTCTTTACTGATGTAGCTTTTAGGGAGTTCTGTTCCTGAGGGTGTGTGCAACTGAGTTAGAGAAACAAAAGTAGCTGAAGCTGCTGAATGGGACTCAGTCCTCTAGTTTCCTCTTTTGATACGCTGTTACCATGAGCTTCGGTAGAACTTTGATCTCTCCTACTCTACTCTGCCTTCCCCTCCTCCCCCTGAGATGTGATCCTGATTTTTCAGGCTGCCAACTGCAAAGCTCTCAGAGAGACAGAAGAGCTTTCTGCCCGTGGGAAGGCAGTCAGGTATCTAGTCTCTGCATTAGCTTCATGTGTCGGTGCAGAGCAGGTGTCCCTTGGCCTGGCTTCTGATTTCTAGACTGTTTTTCTGAATCTCAAACTGGGAAATGAGTAAGACAGTCTCACATAGCAGTGTAGACAGAGGAAGTGTTTTCCTTTGTATTCACTGCCTGAAATCTACCATTGCTCCTCACATTTCCCTGTGCTTAGCTCTGGCTGCTCCTCGCCAGAACTCTTCCTTTCCTCTTCTGCCTCCTCTCTTCTTACCCTTGTCCAGTGTTCAGAGTCCTATTTTCTGACTTTGCAACTCTTACCTCTGAGCGTTTAGGCTGAACAACCTGAAGAGAGCAGCAGCTGACACTCTGGAGGGGAACAAATCTGTGACTTACCTGGATCTCCGAGACAATCAGATGACAGATCTGGATCTGAGCTCTCTGGGCAGCCTGGAGCAGCTGCACTGTGAGCGGAACCGGCTGGAAGAGCTGACGCTGAGTGGCTGCTCCCTTCGGGCCCTCCACGCCAACAACAACAGTACGTCTTTGCCTGCTCCACCTGCCTTCTCCTTTCAGGCACTGGGAACAAAGGAAAAGAGCCCCTTGCCCTCACACCCCACACACAAAGTTCTTACTCTGGTGTTACAGCAGTGAGACTGTATGTGATGGGCCTTCTGGGTCAGCTCCTGGTGGTCACAGATGTGTGTGTGTGCACAGGCTGTAGCAGAGGGAGGTGGTGGTGCTGAGTTACTGTCCAAGGAATTCGTCTTTCAGTGAGATCTGTTTGGGGGTCCACATACAGAAGTACAGTTCTCCCTTTTTCTGGTGCCCATGTGGCAGATGGAGAAATGGGATAGTGAGAAGCTGTAGTGGCAGATGTATGAAGTGTGAACTCTGTCTCAGGAAGAATGAGTAGACATCTTGAGTATCCATACAGTAAGCCTGAGAGTCTCATTTACTAGCTAGTCTGTCTGCTTCTCTGTGCAGTTTTCCCTCTGAAACTCTGTAATTGTAATTATTTGCTTTACTTTATCAGGTCTGACCACTGTCAATATTTATCCAGTTCCTGGCCAACTGACATGTCTAGAACTCTCTCAGTAAGTGACTGTACACCACAGAATATAAAGCAAGTATCTGGACAGCTTTGCTGTTTTTTTTCAGAAAATTTTTTTAAACTTTTTAGCTTTTGAAAGGGTTGAGAGCAATTGACGGAAAGCACTTGGTCTTCACAATAGAGCTTGCAAGCCCAGCACTGAGGAATTATTAGTTTCCCAGACTAGCAGCCTGTCTAAACCAGTATGACCTGTCTAGGTGACTGGCTGTCCTTCAACTCTAGGTTGTAATCAGCAAAAAAAGCCAAGCAGGGACCACTGAACTTGTGGCAGCTTGTTGGCCTGGACAGTGGGCATCTGTGGAGTAGAGACTTAAAGCAGCTGCCAGTGATCTCTGCTGTTGGCTTCGTTGCCCTTGTCTGCCCTTGGAGCACGTTGTGAGACTTGTAAGGTAGGATGCCCAGAGGACCTGATCACCTTTTGCTGCAGTTCTGGGATGAAGCACAGGTGGCCTGTTCTGCTGGACTCAGCACTGCAAACAAAAAGCCTGACTATCAGAACCTTGCGTCAGTACTCCTGCCAGCTGTGCACCAGCCCAGTCTGCATTACACAGCTGGCCATGAGATAATTCTATGTGACTAGTTCAGATACTGATGTTCATTTTTGCCTGTTGCTTTGGCTGTCAATAATAGCATGCAGCATTCCAGCAGGGTGTGTTCCATATGGGGTGCTGGTGTCTAGCTTTTCCCCCTTGCTTTTCTCAGCAATCAGCTGCAATGTGTCCCAGACTGGGCCTGTGAAGCAAAGAAACTGGAAGTTTTGGATGTGAGCTACAACCTCCTTGTGGAGCTTCCGTCGAGGTCAGCAAACCTTCTTGTTATACAGAGCTGAGCTTTCCTCTCTGGTGAGCTGACTGAGGAGACCAGCAGTGCTGTTCCAGTTGTTTTGTTCCTCGTTGTACAGAGATACAATCTACTTACTTTCTCTGTGCAGCATTGAAAATACACTGTATTCCAATGTTGGAAAGAACCGACTTCCAAATCAGCTTCTTGAATAAGAGGGGCTAGGTAATTTAATTCTGTGCTTCTGGCTTCTTCTGCAGCTGCTTGCACCTGAAGTAGACCACACTGTGATTTATTGGTGTTACACAGTGTCTGTGAACAGAGCTCGTGGGTGAGGCCCTAATACACCTTGCATTGCCCTGCAGAGATTTCATCTGGTACCATTCATAGGGAGAGGTGCAGTGTAACTGATCTCAGACGTAGCTTTCACAACACAACATCAGCCACCTCCTTTCTCCCATTTCCCTTTCATTTTCTGCAGAAATGTGGTAAAAGGGAGCCAAGAGCTAATGTAATTTTGCTGATACTTACGACGACTTCTCCACAACACCAAGGATGTTGTGTGAAGGAGCAAAGCACAAATGTTCCTAGCCTAACGAATGTGTCTGGTGGGGGTGACTGGGATGGAGCTATATGGAAATGGAAGGGCAGGATAGATCCCAGTGGAGAAATGCAGGGAGCTGGTGGAAGCAACTAAAGCAGCAGGTGCAGGAAGTGATCTTGGCAGTGACGCTCTAATGGGGCCAGAAACACAACTACATACATGAAAGGCAAGAGGAGGATTTACCAGGGATGTGATAATGGGAAGTTAGAACAGAATTTTAGCCATGCCAATGGATGAAAAAGCCCACATTTTAAGTATGTTATGCATCCTGCATAAGATTCCTAAGTGCTGGAGTTAACTGTGTCCCTCAGGGATCTCTTCCAGTATGTTTGTCATCAGCACTGTAAGTCTTGTGTACAGCTTGAACTTTGCCAGCATTGAACTTCAACCATTGATCAGGTTGATCCAGCAACCTAAAGCTTGAAGTGCCTCTCATAAGGGGATATAGTTCACCATGAACTTGTCTTTTACACATAGTTATCCAAAACCAGAGTTGTATTAAAGTGGTACCTGACAGTGTTGAGTGGAGATACCCAAGCCAGCTCTGGATGAGTCAGCTTGAATAAGGAAATTGGTGTATCTGCACTTGAATGTTTTCTTTGCCCCAATATAATTAACTTTGAGAAGTAACAGCATACAGAAAGAAACTGAATTAATTGGCCTGTATGGAGTAATGCACTAATGCAGCTTTCATGCATCAAAGCATCATTTCATGCTTCAAAGCAGTTATGTACAGGGCTCTCAGAATGTAGTCCCAAATTATCACCTCACCCAAATGAGCAGGGTGGCTCTAGGCTATGTCCAGATATCCTTTCTCAAAATTCCTGCAGTAAATTCTCTGCAGTTTTTGGGGATAGAGGCCTTTCCCTTCAGTAAGGCCTTGGTGCTGGAGAATCTGACAACAGCCTCAGAAGCAATTCAGGAGTGCTAACCAGCCTGTTGAAGCTCTGCATTTCAGTTGGCACAGGGGAGGCGCTTCTTTCTGCCTACAAGCGAAAACAGGCATTTAAATCAGTCCTTTGTGACTTCTTTCTTGTCTGCCTGAGAGATGCTAGGCACATGCACACAGACTGGAACACAGGTTCTGGCCTGCAGAGGTGTGGAGGGACGTGGAGATGCGCTTACAAACCTTGGGGTGGCTGAGGCACCTTTCCTCATGTGATTTGATGGATCAGTGTATTTTGCTTTTTCTCTGCTGTACAGTCAGACTGTAACAGATTGACTACCCTTTCCTACTCTGGATGTGAAGGGGCTGAATCGAGCTGACAAGAGAAAACTCTGTGTCTTTCTAGGATCCTCAGCAGCTTGAGCCTTCGGAAGTTGATGGTGGGGCACAATTGTCTGCAGACCCTTCCACCTCTTCTGGAGCACATTTCACTGGAGGTGCTGGACCTTCAGCACAACCTGTTGACAAAGCTCCCAGAGACACTCTTTGTCAAGGCTCTGAAGTGAGTAGCAGTATCAAGCATCTTTTGTCTGCATTAACCTTTGGAGGTGTAGAGGCTGGTTGGCATCTGTGGGACTGTCCTTGCAAGGTGCCATTAGCATAAGAGATAATGAGGTGTGCACTTTATGAGGAGATAACTGAGGTGCCATGGAGGAAGTCATCAAGCTGATTTGAGGGAATCAGTTTGTGTTACTGTTTAATTACCAGAAAAATAGAGGCTCACCTAACCCAACAGCCAACTGAAGAACTAGCCTCAGTTGCAACTGTTTAGAGGATCATGTTACTGCCTGAAGAGCTTTCTTTAAAAGTAGTGTGTGAATTCAGGTGTAAAGGGAGAAGCCATACAGATTTCCAGAAATTGCAGCAGGAAGTATATCGGGTCATTGGAGAAAAGTGAGAGACACCCTTAAAAATTATTGACCTGTCATAACAATCTGTTCAGACATCAGTCAGCCCTGCTTTTAAAGATTCTGAGTAAGAGTTTATGTAGTTTCATTCCACCAGAATTACACCCCTCCCCAGGCTCTCCAGTACTCAATGTTTACTGTAAAATGCTGTGTGCTATATAGCTAATAAGTCATTAGTACCAACAATTCTTAATGTGAGAAAGGATGTTGCATTGTGTTGTTTGGCCTTCTGTCTAATGCTGTTTCTCTTTCCAGACTGGCATTTGTGTGCCTCCTTCTACTGGTGTTGTTGAGTGGTTTAGATGATGTGAAGTCTGACTTTTGCACTTGCTGTGGTTAGCCTCAGGTACCTGAATGCATCTGCAAACAGCCTGGAGTCCTTGCCCTCGGCATGTGCAGGAGAGGAGAGTCTGAGCATGCTGCAGCTGCTTTACTTGACCAATAATAACCTCACAGATGACTGCATCCCTGTCCTGGTGGGACACCCAAGTCTACGGATCCTGCATTTGGCAAACAACAACCTGCAGACTTTCCCTGCAAGGTAAAGAACTGAGGCTGAGGTGCCACGTGGTGTCTGGAGCCTTTTTCAGAGCCATGTCTCTGAGAATTGTTTTTCTAATTGTGGCTGGTCCCAGTTCCTATGTGCATAACATGGCTTAGCTGATTTAAATCACATGCTCTTTAGGTAAGTTCATGTTGCCAAATAATTTGTATTTTTCGATGTTGAAACTGAGATTCCACTGTATTTTTATCTGCAAATTTTACTAGGTGTAATTTGGTGAGTGTGTATATGTTTTTCTTATTAATCTCTCTCTACTGACTGTCACTGAATTAAAAGTGCCTCCCCACAGAGCCCTACTAGAAGGACTTAGACCAAATTTTGAATTCATCATTATCTTCTGCAATTCAGCTTTGGGATATCAAATATATTTTCTTTGGAATATAGTAGAGAGCTAGTGCTGTAGTGGTAGATTTCTGTGTCAGCTTAATTTGCAGTCTCATACAAAATAGCAAATTCTGTTACAATAGCAGAAAAATCCAGGGAGTTAATTATGTCAGCATAATTCAATATTGATTGCATTTGTCCAAGTATTGCCATGATTCTTCCTGATACTGGTCAGGCTGAAAAAACACTTTAATGTAAATCTGTTTATTCCCACAAAGTACAATCACACAGCTTAGCTTGCTGGGGTTTTTTGTGTTGGTTTTTTTTTCTTCCAGGTTTTAAAACTAAGACACTACAATCTTCTGCTTTGGTGCTTTAGAAGTCAGGGGTGAAGGGTTTTGGCTGTTTTATAAATCCAAGCCATCCTGGGGACCCTGAGTTCTTATTAGAACATCTGTTAGGACCTTTGGTTGCCTATCAATAGATCAGAAGTGTAGCCCAAAGGACAGTGTCTGTGGAAAGCTTATGTGTTCTTTTGTTTCCCTTTCAGCAAACTCAGTAAGCTGGAGCACTTGGAAGAGCTGAATCTGAGTGGCAACAAACTGAAAACAATTCCCACAACAGTGGCAAACTGCAAGCTACTTCACACACTTATTGCACACTCCAATGAAATCAGCATCTTTCCGGAGATCCTGCATTTGCCCCGTATTCAGGTATTCTTGTGGAGAGGGTGAAGAGGTATGGGGGGAAGTTTGGGCTGAAGAAGGGAGAGTTAACTGTTAGGGAGGAACTGGAGGTGCCAGCATTTTGCTTGATCAGCCTGAGAAGAGGGCACAAAACATGCATCCTAGATGTGTCACCTTTCAGAGCTGATCAAAGATGGTTCATCTCTCCTTCACCTTTCCCATCTATCCCTGACTCAGTGCATTTCTGGTTTACCTCTGGAGCAGCAGGAGTGTTGTGTAGCTGGGCAGGTTTGCAGATATAGGCCTCTGTTCTCTGTCGTGTGACCTGTACTTTCAGTACTGGAGTCCTAGCTATTGCAGGTTATAACTCTTTGCTGCTTACAAATGGCTCTTCTGCTGATAGATCAGAGCCCTTGTCATGACTTGTTTGTGGGATTCAGTGAGTAGTGGAGTCCTATGGTGTTTGTAAGGAGCACTGGAGGAACTGCTCACGTGAGAGAACGGAGAGGATTTGCTTTGTCACTGTGCTTTTTTTTGACACTGCAGTTTGTGGACTTGAGCTGCAATGAGCTAACTGAAATCCTAATCCCTGAGGCACTGCCAGGTGCCTTGCAAGAGCTGGACCTGAGTGGGAACACTAACCTGGTGTTAGAACACAAGACACTGGACATCTTCAGGTGAGCCATGAAGATGCCAACCCAGCAGTGACCAGCACAGGGAAGAGTAACCCTTCCCAGGAGGGGACAGTAAAGTGTGTATTGCAGCACTGCATGAAGTTCTAATGTTCAGCCTGAGGCAACTGAAGCTTTCTATCTTGTAGGGAGGGAAAAGCCTGGGTCCAAAGAGCAAGCAAACAATTTCTCAGGTGGGATGAGGCTCTCCCAGCTGTCTCAGGCATATGCACCATACATCTCCAGAAGGCCAAGACCTTAAACTCCTCTCCTTGGTGCAGTTATTTTCACAGACTGTTGTCTAAAACTCTAGGTCCTTTGGCCAGAAGCTCCTCAGCATGGCCTAGGAAAGAATGACTTCTGTTCTTCTCTCTCTGTAGTCACATTACCACACTGAAGATTGATGCTAAGCACTCCCTCACAGCAGACTCGGCGCTGACTTCTACCTTCTGGAGTCATGGAGCAGCTGAGATGGCAGGCCAAAGAAACAAGTGAGTGTTGTGGTCTGCTGGATGCTGACACTCCCTCTCCTCAGGGTGCCAGGTGAAGGACACTGCTAAGCACCTAGGCAGACTTGCTTTGCTCAGGAGCTTGTCTGTCCTTCTGTCCCTCCATATCTCTTGCTCAGGCTTGGTGACTCAAGCTTCTGCACTGTCCTTTCCCTCAGTTTTCACCCTTATCCTTAGACACTTGGACTTTGCTTCCCACCCTGGCAGAGATGCTTTTCCTCTCTTGCTGGCTGTGCCCATTGCCCTCTCTTGAGTATGGTCAAAGGAGGGTTTGGGAGTTCCAACAGCAAACTGCAGCTGTACATCTCATGGGACAGTGAATGTAGGGACAGTGGCTTTGCTGCCCCATGAGAACAGCACTCATGGCAAAGTGCTGGATGGCCATGGGTTTGGAGACCATGTAATCTTTTGAGACTTACTAACTTGGTTTGCATGCTTTTCTAACAGGCTGTGTGTGTCATCCCTGGTACTGGGGAGCTTTGCAGAGGGGGTGGAGGCTGTGTATGGCATGTTTGATGGTGACAAGAACGAGGAGCTGCCACGCTTGCTGCAGTGCACCATGGCCGATGTGCTGCTGGAGGAGGTACAGCAGTCAGACACCATGTTCATGTCCAACACCTTCTTGGTCTCCCACAGGTAGGACAGTGAGCAACCTGGTCCTGATGGGACCTGCATAGGTATATCACTTAATGTGTTAGGTGGGTGAGGCAGGCCTCCAGAATGCCTGTCACTGGAGTCTGGAGCCTTCCTACACCTTCTCCTCCAACAGGAAGCTGGGCATGGCTGGGCAGAAGCTGGGTTGCTCTGCTGTCCTTTGCTACATTCGTCATGATGTGACTGAGCCAGGCAGCAGCTTTTCTCTGACCGTGGCCAATGTGGGGACGTGCCAAGCCGTTCTGTGCCGCAGCGGGAAACCACTGCCTCTCTCCAAAGTCTTCAGCCTTGAACAATGTTCAGAAGAAGCCAAGAGAGTCAAGGAGCAAAAAGCCATTATAACAGAGGTTGGTTTGGACCCTCTTTACTTCAGCTTCTATCCTCCTGTAAAACCTTGGTACAGATGCAATACTAGAGGGAAGAAGATGGCATGGGGGTGTCTGAGTGACTTGTCAGTTGCTTCCTGCTCTGCTTCTCTTGCTGATTAGCTATTCAGAATGAGAAGTTCTTAAAACAGCTGTTATGGCCTGAGAACTAGGTAGGGGATGCCAAGTATTGGCTTCAGGAGAGAGGGATGAAAGAAGACAGATGTGGAGCTAAAGGAGGAGAGGTCTATAATACTATTTGTGACCTGGGTGAGTGTGGAGAGGAACCACTGAGGAACAGAGCAGGGCTTGGGAAGTAATTTTGTCTCAAAACCCTTAAAATATCTTTGGTGTTTCTTGACAAGTTTCCTTTATTTGGATTTATTTCACATTTTACTCAGTGAAGGTACAGGATTAGTGGCCCTTGAGACATGTGGAACATGGATATAAAGTCTATTACAGGTACAAATTTTAACACAAAAAAGACAGAAATGTTCCTTGGTTTTATGCAAAAGTATTAAAAGTATTTTGGGAGAACTCTCTAAAGGTTAAATTTCTAAAAAATTGGAAATAACAGTGGAAGTTCTAAAGAACTGGAAAACATATTGTCAGTGAAGACCTGAGAAGTCAGTGCCAGTCATACTAGTTTCATGCTCAGTGGGTCTCTTTAAAATTATCAGATTGTTTGAGAAAAGTGTTTCTGACCGGGATAATATGTTAGTGTGTTATAATTCTGCAAAGTGCTGTATTATCTAGCACTCTGAAAATAATGGTGGAATCAGTGTAGCACATGAAATTACTTGAAAACGGGCTGATGAATGGATTCTGAAAAATAACAGTGACATTGTCTAAGGAGGCTTCCCTGTATGTATCCTTTGCTGGTTTGTAAAACTTGGCAGCAGTAGCAATGTTTAACACCCAGAGGATACAGAAATTTAGAACACCAAAATTAAGTTCAAAATGCTGGGGAAGCTGTGTACTCTGCCTGGCCTGGCTTGGAAAAGGGACTGAGGGCAATTTTATGTCCAGGAGACCATGTGGCAGGAACAGGAAGGGAGGTAACACCTCCAGGTTACAGCAGCAGTGTGAGATGCCTACTTGTTCTTTTCTTCTTCAGGATCTAGTGCTCACACCTCAGAGTGCAGTTAATTATATGTTATTAAAGAGGGAAATAGTTCAGAAAATACACAGAAATTATATAATATCTGGGTAATCTGCCTTGCAATGAGAAAGTCAGAAGTCATTATCTCATACTGAAAAAGTAAGTTTCATGTAAGACCCATGGGTGAGATTCTCTGATCATGTGCTGCAGGATCTGGCTGCATGTGTCAGAATAGCTTGCTACAGTTCTTCAGAATGTGGCAGGAAGTCTGGTGGGATAAAAGTATGTTATTGCCAGCATGGGTGATGGGAGATGGTCAGGTACTGTGCATGCCTGGCTGCAGTACCTGTGCCTAGATCCCTTTCCCCTGTACTGTAGCTGTGCACTGGCATTTCCCAAGGCTCCAAACCAAGACATGAGCAGGGGAAGAGCTGTTCTCTAGATGATCCAACAGCAAATCTAAAGCTGCTGCCTTGTTCCTCTTGTCTGCAGGACAATAAGGTCAATGGTGTGACTTGCTGTACTCGGCTGCTGGGCTGCACGTACTTGCATCCTTGGATCCTGCCCAGACCACATGTCAGTTCCATTCCACTGACTGTACAAGATGAGCTGCTACTTCTGGGCAATAAAGCTCTCTGGGAACACCTCTCCTACTCGGAGGCTGTCTCAGCTGTGCGGCACCTACA